ACTCTACAGGTCTGCCTAGTTTCGTGGTTCTCACCTATCGAAGAAAACCCTGATTGAAGAAATCCTTCTTGGCCCTAGCAAGCGACCTACCCTCTCCATGGCACTAACAAAAGTCCTTGAGAAGCAAAATTGCCTTTCAGGTCTAAAGGCATTGTGAGTATTTCCCTCTCATCTTTATCTCTGCTCAAGGCCAGATTTTTGCTTGTTCATTGTGTGATCAGACTCCTAAAAATGGATTATTTTTAAGGTGCTATATTCAACAGCGTGGAGCACAACATGCTTTACATGCAAGAGGCCAGGGTAAAAGTTAGATCCTGGCACCACATGGTCCTCCAGCACTGGCAGGAGTAACTGCTGGGGCAGTGCCCCCCCCAAAAAAAAACAACCACAAAAATAAGGTGCACATTGAATAGAAAGACTAACTTAATCATGCCCTTCTGAGGGGGTGGAAAGTGGCCAAAGAAAGCTGAAAAAAGAAAACTAATTCGCTGAACTTGAAGTCATCCCTTTCAATTATAAAAGGGAGCATGGGTGAACAAAAGCAGTAAGTGGCAGACTCATCTAGAGACCCAGGATAAGGAAAACTAATTTTGGGAAGATGACCAAAGTCCCAAGTTCAAGAATATTCTGCTACTGAAATCTATGTTCCTGGGGGAAATGTGGTAAAGGTAAAGGTAAAGGCCCTCCCGTTGATTGCCGATTTGCTCGAGCGGGCCCAGTAACGTCTCCATTGGAGACTTTGTTGTTACTGTGTCTGGCATATTGAATACTCTTGGTAGCTTGCCGGGCTCTACAAGAGGGGTGGAGGAATCGAACTCGGGTCGGCCATGTTGGCCGCGTGTAAGGCGAACACCCTACCCTCTGTGCTATCGCTCCAGCCCCATTTCCAGGGGGGAAATGTGAATGTCCTGAAAGACTCCATGAGAAGGCAATTATCCTTGATCTCCTACCCACTTAGGAAATACAATGAAGGATGGATATCTGGTAAGGACATGTAGCTCAGAGTTGCCTTTTATTTATTCATTTGTTTATTTATCTATTTATTTATTTATTTTCTTTTTGGGTCACACCTGGTGATGCACAGGGGTTACTCCTGGCTCTGTACCCAGGAATTACTCCTGGCAGTGCTCGGGGTACCATATGGGATGTGGGGAATCGAACCCGGGTTGGCTGCTTGCAAGGCAAATGCCCTACCCGCTATTTTATCACTCCAGTCCCTCAGAGGTGCCTTTTAGAAGAAAGACAAAAGGTCAACACTGAGGGCCAGGGAGGTAGCCCAAAGGGCTAGTACATATGCACTGCTCTGCACGCAGGAGGCACAGCATTCCCTAAGTCACGTGGCAGGAGAAGCCCTGAGCACCATTCCCAGTGCACTCCCTATCTCCAAGTTAGCACTGGAGCTGCTTTGCTTTTCATTCATTACAGACCAGGCACTAGCATTACACGTATTAAAATATAATTAGGATAAAATCACATAAAAGCCGCTCTCCAAATCAACCCAAATATGCAGCTCCATTTATTTAGCAATATTAATCCATGCATTTACATGAAGAGTATCAAGCCAAGCGGAATGAGTCAGAAAGAGAGGGACAGATATAGAAGAATATGACCGCATTCATTTGTGGGATATAAAAAATTAGTATGGAACTAATATCCAAGACAAGGGAAAACAGGCCAGGGGGACTAGTCAATGGTTGGAAATTTCCACAAGGGTGTGGGGGTGTGGAAAGTAGTTACAATAGAGGAGGGTTCATTATAACAACATTAGTTGGAAATGATCACTCTGGACAAGAACTAAGTGTTGAAAGTAGGTAAAGGGATTTCCATGATAACCTTTCAGCATTTGTATTGCAAACTATGACTAAAATAAGAGAAAGAGAGCGAGAGGGAGAAGAGAGGTGCCTGCCATAGAGGCAGGCTGGGGTGAGGGGTAGCTCTGGGGAGGTGAAAGGGAAACTGTGGACACTGGTGCTGGGAAATTACACTGGTGGAGGGATGGGAGTTGGAAAATTGTATGACCGAAACCCAATCATGAACAGCTTTGTAATGTTCTATCTCACAGCGATTCAGATAAAAATAAAACATTTTTTAAAAAGCATGCACTTAAAAAGTGGGTTAACAATAAAAAAGCAGCTGTAGAAGCATGTTTTTTCAAAAATCAGTGATATCATGTAACAAAACTGCACAGTGGTATGAATATTTTATGTAACATGATCCACACTTTTTAGCTGATAGAATCCCATAGAACTATAGTCCTTGATCCAAAACAGACCCTTCAATGTGCTTAAGAAGCAAAGAGTTAAGTACAAATGAAAGTACTTAAATTTGTGAAAACTTGTTCCAGTAAATTTTGACACATCATAAATATACTCAGCAAGCTAAATCCTCACGTGTCTCCTACTGTATCTTTGCAGTTGACCCATTTCTCTGACAGGTCAGAGCCAGGCCATCACAATCTCTAAGGCCTCTCCTCTGAAGAGCCTGTGCAGGACCTAGGGCAGCTCTCCTCCGGTCTCCTCTGCCCTTCTCTGGAAGAGCAGAGTGGGTACCATGACCTCATTCTCCATGGGAGGCTGCATGATCATTCTGTCTCAGAAAGGAAAGGGAACAAGGGCCATTAATGGTTGTATCTGAACAATTTATTAAAATCTGACATGTATAATTTCAAAAACACAGAGGAAAATCAGCACAATATCTGTTCCAGTTGCTTGAAAGAATGGGTGATTCATCTATTTCTTGCATCAAATGGGGATGAATGATTTTGCTCCCCAATCAATGTAGACCTTCTTTTGCGGGGAGGAGGGAGGCGAGGGGAGGGACCCATGCACAACTGTGTTCAGGGCTTACTCCTGGCCCTGTGCTCAGAGGACCACATAAGGTACTGGGGATCGAACATGAGTCAGCTCTGAGCAATGCGAGCACTGTACTATCTCATTTCCCCCAAAGTAAGATATTCCTTACATCAAGAAAAGAGGGTGAAAATATTTCTTAAAGTATGAATGTAAAAAGGAGGATAACCCTAGATAAGGGAAGAAATGTCAAGAGACAAAAGCGACATGGTGAAAAATAACCTAGTACTAAAGAAAGTCCTTTAATTAACTTCTAGGAACATGTAAGAGCTGACAAGTTACAAGTCCTTCCTCATCAAAATTCTGTAAGAGAAATGTTTTGTATTTGTCTTATTAATGAACTTTACAATAATTCCTTGGCAGTAATATTTGCAGAAAAAATACTGTAGCCCAGTTGATATTTATTCTGACTAGAGCTAGAGAGAAAGAAAACATTACTTCTTTACAGTCTTTTAACCTAGAAATATCCCTATTAACAAGAAGAACCTCTATATCAAATTCATGTTATTGGAGATTTATTATAGTAATAATTCTTAGGAAGAGGACACTGACATCAAGCTTTGTAATGTCTTTTTAATTCAAATTTATTATAACATTAAAGAAATATCTGATTTGGCATCCAAATTCTTTCTAAACTATATTTTAAATTCTTCTTTTCAGAGTATTGATCAATGCTGTGTTCGCTTTCATCTTCAGTGCAAAAAAGTCAATAAGATGAACAATTTATGATTCTATGTAATCATGCAGAATAAAAAGGAAATGGTAATGAATTAAAATCATAAATCTAAATATGAGTAACTAAATTTAGTATTTTAAATCCAGAATGCACATGTCTATGAGTGTTCAAGTTACTGTACTTTTCTTTTTATTTCTTAATTTTTTTAAATTCTTTTAATTTTATTGAATCACCATGAAATAGTTACAAGCTTTCAAGTTTGGGTTACTTTTCAATGGCAAGATGATCCAAAACTGATCTGAAAGCTGACGACTGTTCAAATGTTTAAAATTCTCCAATTCCATAATTTCTTACAAACCCGGAGAATGGAGCATACCAGAAGTACAGAATCGGTGTAATCATTCCTTTCTTTCCTTACTAACAACAATTACTTCCAGATTGGCTAGATCTACAGCTAAGAGATAAGTGGAACCTGGCTTTGTCCCAAAGGAGCAATGATGAACTCTTCTGAACAGTGTTCTGAACAGTGGGGACCTGAGGGAATTGTTCTGGAAAAGAGACATCTGAGATCATTTCCAACCCCAGTGCACCAGGGCTGCATTTTAGAACAGCATCTTGAAGACACAGTCAGTTTTATGCTCCATGTTGTTCAAACAATGTAGTTATAGTCCATGGCAGATCTGAACAAAAATTAGAAAAGGATTTCCCAGGAAACATTCTAAGACCTAAATCAAATCCAAGGTCTGGTTTTGCTCTTTGACCAAAAAAAAAAAAAGAGGAAAAAGAGGGGGAGAGGGGGAGAAGGGGAGGGGCAGCAGGGGGAGGGGGGAAGAGGAGGAGGTGGAGGACAAGGAGGAGGAGGTGAGAAAAGTCACCCAAGAATTTACTTTGCTTTTCTAATTTTGGGAAAAGGCTTCTAAAGACCCATTTTAGTTTCTGTCTAATAGTGGTCCTCACTGCTTGACATTCAGGGTTTTTGCAGAAGGACAATTGCTTAGATTTTGCTTTTTGAGGAAGCAGTAGGACTTGTTTCTCACTATGTGCTTCCTGTTCCCCAGAAGGCAAAAAGTTTCCTCTGATCTTCACAAAAGTCCTCTGAGTTAGGCAGTGCAGGCGAACACTCTCTGTTTTACTGGTGACTTTACCTGCAGGTGACATGCTATGTAGCTCCGCACAGGTAAAGCTGAGATGCTCAAGTCCACCGTTCACATAAAAACATCTGAAGGGATGTGACCTCTAGTGCACTAAATGGAAATGTTCCTTCATTTTTGTAATGGACAAATTCTATAATGCACTTGAATTAGTCTCATTAATCTAAACTAAAATGGGAATACACACAAGGGCACGTATTTGCTCTTCCTTTGTGTTAGTATACTAAATTCCTCATGGACCCTTTCTAGGAATCATTATCCTAATGGGTCAGAGAAAGGAATTAAAAAAACCCACAAGTGACAGAGTAACATATATATTTAAAAAAAAATGTTAGCAAGCTGCTAGATCACTAAAAACCCAAGGGAGGAGGAAAAAAATTCCCAAGGAAGCACAGGAGAATGTTTCTGTTTGCGAAGTCACTAGACCATTTACGTTTTCCCATTGGCATATAAATGTAAATGTCCATGCTACGTAACCTCAAACTATAATAATTAAGGAGCTCTGTCGTTATACTCCATTCTTCTTTATGATGATTGCTTTAAATCTAGCAAAAGAGATTCATCATCCTCTACTTGCACCTGAGGTTTGAAAGTCACTTTTAAGGGCTCTGGGGTGGGGATTTCCCCTCCTTCCTGGCGGGGGCGCTCTGCCCGGGTCTCCTCTCCATCTGTCTCCCTATCTGTCTCCCTGAGCTGCCGCTCCTTGGGGAACTCACCATTGGGGCCCAGAGACTCGCTCCCAGACATGATGTCCACACCCATCTCCCCGACCTCCACAGGCCCTTCTGCCACTGTGTTCTCTTTAGCTTTGCGACGGCTGCGCATCTTAAAGGTGTCCCTTGAGGGAGCCGCACTGGAAATAGACTTCTTAAATCTCTCCCCCGACTGCTTCAGTCGCTCCCCGGACTGCTTCAGCCTCTGCCCTGACTGCTTCAGCCTCTCCTCCCCAGACTGCCTCAGCCTCTCCCCGGACTGCCTCAGCCGCTCCCCGGACTGCCGCAGCCGTTCCCTCCTCTCTGGGGTCACTATTCTAGTTCTGATCCGGTTCACTCTCTTGTCAAAATCCTGCCGTGTCTTTTGCATGCTTTCCTTGGAAAATGCCTTTTTGATATTATCGATGTGCTCCTTGCCTGACTTTCTAAGCTTGTCAGATCTGCTTTCTTCAACATAATATTCTTCATCTGAAGACAGCTCTATTGGAGGCTCATAGATCTCCTCCTCCTCTTCCTCATGCTCTTCAGTAACACTTTTATCTTTTACAACAGACAAGGATGTTGGGCATGGAATCTTCTCCTGAAGGAAGAAAATGAAAGCATGTTAGAGACCAGTTTATCCCTTTCTGGCCAGGACTTTTAAACCCCCACTGTGGGCTATTTACTTTCTGCCTGCTTGTTAAATGTTGGCATAACTCAGAATTTTACTCTTTGGCCTCTTTCTCCCCTTCTTCACCTCCATTCCTAAGCCTTTGAATTAAACTTTAAGTGTATTAAATTTAAGGGCTGTGTATATACATATATGTTAAGCACATATATTTTATCCCCATGTATTTTATCTCCAATCCCTTCTCCTATGATGAAAAGACACATTTCTAAATGACCAACAGACTTATCCACCTCAGCATAACATAGCATCTCAAACTTATGTCCAAAACTCAAGGTTCATCCATAAATCTCTCCGCTGCTCCTTCTTTTCCTGAACCTCTTCCTAAGCACCTCTGAATATTCAGGCACCAACCAGACAGAAACCTCAGAAGGAAAGATCCAAATAGCTATTTCTCCTCTTCATCCCACTACCAACTAGTTATTCATGTTGTCAATAATACTTGTTCCTTCTCTTTCCTCCTTGTCACCTCAGGCCTGAATTTATGTAATATCTCTACTGCCAAACAGCACCTAAATCTCTCCTGATAAGTGTTTTTAAAGACTTTCAGATGTTCATCACTACTTTAGAGATTAGAGTTCAAATTCATAATATGATTAAAAGGCTCTTCAATTTGAATTAAATCTACTTGCGTTTTCCTCCAGTCCAGCAAAACAAACCACCACCCTCCTCAGTTCCTTTAACACAATAAGGTTTTGTCCCTCCTGCTTTTGGCAGATGTGATTCCTGCTCTCTAAAATATCCCTCCACCTCTTTTCATCTATGAACAGAATTCTTCAGAGGGAATTCAAATATCCTCAACTTTGCTGAGATGGCTTTGGTCTCCGGTTTATGGCAAAATGGCTCTCATCTCTCTTAACATTTACCACTGTGTCAGCTGAACTGAAACTCTACCTATTTATATACGTCTCCCTGTGGCTTTTCCGAGATGACAGGTTGTATGATAACAGAGATGTCTCACTTCTCGTGTCTTACATCCACACATATCAGAGTGAGCTGTACATAAGCCAGTAAGTGACTGTTGGATGAAGTAAGAGGCATACGCCTTCACTCAGCAAAGAGTTACTAAGCACCTATCAGGCCTCAGCCAATGTTCTAGGAACTGAGAATCTCCTGCAAAGAAAACAGAGTAAAGGAACTTATGTTCCTAGAGACAAACAAGTTAAATACATACCATGTTCAAGGATAAGTGCCAGATTTAAAAAAAAAAAAAGGGAGGGGTGGAGTTGTAGCAGAGCGGGTAGGGAGTTTGCCTTGCACGTGGCTGACCTGGGTTCAAGTCCCAGCATCCCATATGGTCCCCCGAGCACCACCAGGAGTAAATCCTGAGTGCATGAGCCAAGAGTAACCCCTCTGCAACGGTGGGTGTGATCCAAAACGCAAAAAAAAAAGCGGGGGGTGGAATATACTACATCTGGGAAGGGAAGTTGCTTGGGAAGGCTTCACTAATAGATAAAATCCTAGTGTAGACTACTCAACTGGAAGAGAAACAAAACCAGTGGGGGCGAGGGTAGCATGACCAGCAAGAGTGACCACAGGAGAATGAGAAGGAGCAGGAGGGCCAGATCTCATAGGGTTCTGTATCCATGAATTAGGGTAGTGGTTCTTACTAAGTGTGCTAGGAAGCCTTTTAAAACAAATTTTGACCCAGTGATATGATTTGATCCATGTTGTAGAAGGAGCACTGCTGCAAATGAGAGATCTATGAAAGCACTGGAGACCACAGAGAAAGCCAGGAGAGTGCAGGATTGGGTTACTACAAAGGAGGGGGTGAGAGTCACCCGATTACGATTACGGAGCTACTCTGGAGAACCAATAGGATTCTGCTGCTAAGAGTCAGGAGTGAACTCTTAGAAAGGATCAAAGACCAAAGATTCCCAAGCACAGGATTTGAGCAGTGAAGGATAGGTTTCTCATTACCTAGGGCAGGAAAGAAAGCACAAAGATAAGACTGGAAAAGAAGAATGAAACCCAAACATAATAGCTTTGCGATGGCCACTGGCCATTCAAGTAGAGAAATCAAATATCTTTGAGTATAAGCTTAGAATTGAGGAATAAATTTGGACTAGAGAAACTTTCTGGTGCCATCAATTTAAAGGTGAAATTGAAAATAATGAAGTTGGGGGAAAGAAAGATGGCGGCCGCACGGGAGCCTTGTGGACAGCCGGTTTGAGACGGGCTCGGCGGGAGCGGCGGGGACCTCATGGGAAGGGGGGCTTTGTGGGCCGTCCCCCACGCCCCACCGAGGTCGCCGGCTGCCCCCCACGAGCGGCTCTCCGGCACGGCCACGGCCCCGGAGGCACAAGGACTTAGCACAGAGAACCAGCCGCTTGGAGCAGAAAAGCAAATGGACGCACGGGCACAGAAACCAATCTCTTAACTATCTAACTTTTAATAGAAATTCTTCCAGGGTCAATAAGTAAAATAGCAGAAATTCAAAACCGCGCGGCCGCCATAGCGGCCGCGCGACATCATTTTTATCCTTAAACCAAGTTGTAGAAAGCAAATCATTTCACAATGCTGTTTCAGCATATCTGATTGTGGGGGGTGGGTCGTAAACTCTAAACAATAATTGTGCATCTTCTATCAAAACAATCTATCTAGTCAAAGTAGATAGAGTATTAACTAGAACTCATCTGCCTCACAAGAATTGGGAGGGGTGGGGGGAGGTGGGGGTCTATTGGGGTTCGGGGTTAAAAATAAGTATTGGTAAAGGGAAATGTGTTTGATATTTACATGACTGAGACCTAAACCCGAAAGCTCTGTAACTTTTCCCACAGTGATTCAATAAATAAATAAATTATAAAAAAAAAAAAGAAAATAATGAAGTTGGGCTGGTGAGATAGTACAGCTTGCGTTGTAATGCATCTGATTCAGCTTTGATCCTTAGCACCACACATGGTCGCCCAACCATGGAAGGAGTGATCCCTGAGCACAGAGCCAAGAGCACTGCCAGGTGTGGTCTAACATCTTCATACCCCAAAACATGAGCTTGCTTTGCACAGTCAAAGATGGCCTGACCCAGGTCTGATCCCCAGCACCACATAAGATGCCATGAGTACCAATAGGAGTGATCCCTAAGCAGAGAACCGGGAGTAGCCCTTGTGTACTGCTGGGTGCACCCCTCAACTCTTGCAAAGACAGATAAATTCATGAGGCAAGATAAAAAATATTCTGGGGGCTGATCGATAGTGCAGCAGGTTGGACGTTTGCCTTGCACATAGTCAACCAGGGTTCGATCCCAGCATCCCACACAGTCCCCAGAGCACCACCAGAAGTAATTCCTGATTGCAGAGGCAGGAATAACCACTGTGCATCACTGAGTTTGACCCAAAAAGGAAAAAAAAGATAAAGGTCTGCCAGACACTCATAGGTCTATACTCCATTATTCAAATGCCTTGGGGTCAAGGAATATGTAACAATTCAGATTATTTCAGATTTGGAAATAGCACTGGGAAGACATTCCTGAAGAGATTTAGGGAAGAAGCATTTTTTAGGGGGGAGGAGGGCACAGCTGAATCTTGACTCGGAAATGGGATAAGGACATGAACAACCTCATGCTACTTGAAGTCAGATTTTGCCACCAAATGAGTTCAGATCAAGCCCAGGACTTGTATTTTGGTGCTATAAATTACCTTTAAACCTACAGATAAAAAAGAAGAGGAAAAGTGATTGTTTTGCATCCTGCTATCCCTGATTCAATCTATAGCACTAAAGATGAGTCCCCCAAGCACCACCAGGAGTCACTTCTGAGCAGAGCCAGAACAGACCCTGAGCACAGCCAGCGAGTGGGTGTGGCTCAAATTTTCCCACCTCCCCATTTCCCCCCACAAGAAAGAAAGAAAGAAAGAAAGAAAGAAAGAAAGAAAGAAAGAAAGAAAGAAGGAAGGAAGGAAGGAAGGAAGGAGAAAGAGAGAAAGAGAGAGAAAGAGAAAAAGAGAGAGAAAGAGAGAGCGAACGAAAGAAAGAAAGGAAGAAAGAAAGGAAAAAAGGAAGAAAGAAAGAAAGAAAGAAAGAAAGAAAGAAAGAAAGAAAGAAAGGAAGGAAGGAAGAAGAGATAAGAATCAAGAAGTATAAATATCTGCCAGAGAAGGATAAGGAGACCCACAGAGCACCTACTCCCTGCCGCAAAAGCCACAAGTGAAAGAAGTTTCAAGAGACACAGGAAACAATTATGTCAAATGCCAGAAAAATAAGGGTGAGAATTGGATTTGGTAACATGGCAAACATACTAGTTAGTGCCCCTGAGAACCAACCCAGAAACACAGCTACTCAAAAAACTAACCTCATTCCTGACAAATGCTAAAACTACAAAGGAAAAGGAATAAAGATCATGATAAACTGAACCTGTAAATTAAAATTTTTCAAGGAAACCGTGCTTCTAAATCTGCTTAATTAAAGCAATATAGAAACATGCAAGAAATACATTGATAAATATTCTGCCTGTAAATTAAGGACGTTTTATGAGAGCCCTATTACTTTGAACTTAAAGTTAAATCTGGTTACCGAATCAGAGAAGAAGCTGGAAAGCTGGGTGGGAGTCCCATGTCTTGCTGATGAATCAGAAGCAACATTATTCCTCTCCTTTCCTGCCACCTGCCACAAGGAGCAGCTTCATAACACCACATGGGTCGGTGTGGCTTGAGAAGGTATAATTAGAAAAGGACAGAGCCAAAGAACTATCACTGCTTGGTGGTGGTGTGTGCATGTGCGTGGGGGAGGAGGTGGGTAGGCTAGAACAGGACCCTCACAATACTGCTATGAAGAGATCAGAGATGGCTTAACTGAGGATCAGAAAGTCTTCTTCAACTGAACACCAGTTAAAACTGGACACGAAATCAAAACAAAGGCAGCGTGAGGAACTTGTTCTGTGGATCTACTTCTTGCAATTCCAGTGAGTGAGAGATATTATCGATTAATGATAGAGACACTGTAATAAGTGAAGATGATCAGAGACAACTACGCTCCAACGTGGTGTAGGAATCAGTTAAAAAGGTGATTTCCGTAACAAAAAAAATGACAAGGTAAAAAATGGGCCCTGATCAGGTAGCAAAATAAATTTTCAATTAAGAAAATTTGGAATATAGGCAAGACAGGGATACATCATTAGGGAATCGCATTTGGTAGTCACAGGCCAGTAGTGGGAGTAGTGAGCAAAACTGCTAGAGGACTGGGTCAGACTCCTGGCTTGCATGATGAGAAGGTCATCAAGGAGAAAGTCCATGTAGCGGGAAATCTCAATAGGGAGAGGAGAGAGCTCAAAGGGCTGGGGTGCGTGCTTTGCATGCTGAAAGCTTGGGTTGATTCCCCAGCCCTAGCATCTCATGATCCCCCAAGCACCACCAAGAGCGACCCCAAGCATGCAGCTTTGAACAGCCCTGAGCTATTCACGGCCAGGTTTGTGCCAGTCCCCACAAAACCGAGAAGTATGTGAAGCATCAAATAATTTTCTCCTGCCAGTATCCAAGACGAGGTGAAAGTTCAGACACATGCAACTGTAGGAGATTAAGATACCAATGAAGATCAGCACACAAATATACAATTTTGGGGAAAAAATACCCAAGTAGATATAAAATGTATAGTTGTTGAACAGCTCAGTTAAAAGTTAATTTTAGAAGGGACAGTTCTCAGCACAACCATTCTGCATATTAAATAGAAGGGTGAATTATAAGATCAAATTTTAATTGCTAACAATAATTTAATACTGTATACACTGTTGTAGCATCTTAGAAATCATCGAATCCATTGGCATTTTCTTTCCTCTTTTCTCTACAGGTTCTCCTGGTATAAAAGATTTCAACTGAATATGGGTAAAATGCTGTTAGGTTTTCACAGGACCAAAAAGGAGAAAGAGAGAACAAGGGGGAGTGTCCTGCCACAGAGGCAGGGTGGGATGGGGGGGATGGGGGTTTGGGGGGATGGGGTGTGGGAGGGATGCTGGGACCCGTGGTGGTGGAGGATGGGCGCTGGTGGAGGGATGGGTACTTGATCATTGTATAACTGAAACCCAAGCACAAAAATTTCTAAGTCTATAATTGTACTTCATCGTGTTTCACTAATAAAAAATTTTTTTAAAAAATGCTGTTAGGGGGCTGGAGCGATAGTACAGCAGGTAGGGCGTTTGCCTTGCACGCAGCCAACATGGCCGACCCAGGTTTGATTCCCAGCATCCCATATGGTCCCCCGAGTACCGCCAGGAGTAATTCCTGAGTGCATGAGTCAGGAGTAACCCCAGAGCATCGCCGGGTGTGACCCAAAAAGCAAAAAAAAAAATGCTGTTAGGTTTTCAACAACTACAGAATCTTTGTAGCAGTACATTCTACAAGAAAAAAAGACATGGCCCAAATGAGTGTCTCCCAGTTGCTTTTGCAGAACATCTTCTATTCACTCAAGGGAATCAAAGAAAGGAGAAAAAAACACCAAGTTTCAGGGAATAACAGATGAATATAGAAATATTGGGCTGGAGCAATAGCTCAGTGGGTAGAGCGTTTGCCTTGCACACAGAGCACCCGGCCGACCCAGGTTCGATTCTTCTGCCCCTCTTGGAGAGCCTGGCAAGCTACTGAGAGTATCTCACTTGCATGGCAAAGCCTGGAAAGCTCCCCATGACATATTCGATATGCCAAACACCGTAACAAAGTGTCACAATGGAGACGTTACTGGGCCCGCTCAAGCAAATCGATGAATAACAGGAGGACAGAGACAGTGACAGAAATGTTAAAACTTTTTTAGAAATGTCAGCAGACAAACAAATCAATTCTAATTTTAAGGCTGAACTCTGAAGATCCATCCATTTTAAATTCTAATTGATGCCTGGGTGCCTGCGACATAGAGATTCTCAGATGAAGTGCCAGATACCACAAATAAATTTGAATATGCCCCATGCACTACTGTTAAGGCCCTTGGAAAGTGGATTAAAAAATATAGATACTGCATTCTCCAACACCAAAGCTAGAACCCCATTACATCCACTAATACTAGGACTGAGTTCTGATTTCTCTCTCTCCTCTCTCTTCTCTCTGTCTGTCTCTGTCTGTCTCTGTCTCTGTCTCTAAAGTAGGCAGAAGGGCCTCAAAGCATCTGGACAGAAAGGAAAAGGATAAAGACTTGGCATATAGTTCATTTCACCTAACCTTTGAAGTAAACAACTCTTCTCATTCCCTTCATTTTATCCTAAATGAACAAAAAGATCTTAAAACAGATCCAAAATGCCTCTCTGCAGTCCCACTACAACTTTTATCAGTCAACAAGCCACTGAGAGCTGAATAACATGTGAAGAATGTTATGGGGAGTATCAGCCCACATCCCAACTAGCTTACAAATATCTGCCCACATAATCCAACTGTGTTCCTACATTTTGCTTTTATTTGGGCAGATTCTCTATGCATATGGGCATCCATTCTTTTAAAAAAAATAAAGTGTATTCTTTTAACAAATAAAGATAAATAACACTGACCATTCTTGAACACATTTCTGATTTTGTGCTTAAATTCTCTGGACATGAAATTTCACAGTCCAAAGGTTTATGCAGTTTCAAGGTTTCTTATATGTACTGCAAAAACTACCCTCCCAAGATACATTATCTGCTAGCAAACTATTAAAATGTTTTTTTCCTACCAAAAAATACTTATTTTAAGAACTTCAATATGTATAGGTCAGAGTGAAATTCTTTGCTGAGTGAAATATTTAATGACTTTCATGATTTTCTATGACAGGAAAAGTTTAATTTGTTCCTCTTGATCTTCTAGGAGTTTTAAAGTTGATTTACAGATACCAGATTTGTACCATGGATATATTCATACAAAAAGTATGTGTCAAATGTAGAATAATACTAATACACAAAGCCATACCAAAAAATGACTATGCTAAGTCATGAAAAGATGTAATAAAATATGCAATCACTTATGATTCCTACATCCATAACTATAATACAAATAAGAATTAGTGCCTGATGATCAATAGATAAATTCAAATTTTTTCTTATTATGATGTAACCTACATAGTACTGCCTGAAAAAATTCCAACAATTTTTTCTGTTTAGATCTTTTCCAGAGAAAATCACATTGTTGAGCTACTGTTCCCCAATTTCTATTTTTATAAACAAAGAACTATTTTAATGAGGATTCTTAGATCTCTTCTGATGCTCAGAATCACAGTCTATGAAAGAGCATCATGCTAATATGACTAATAGGCTGAGAGGACCTCACTAATAAAGTGTCAAAGACAAAATATAGTCTTCACTATGATCCACAGTTCCCATTTCATGACATGGTTGAGAAGTTCAGAATAATGACATAATAGAAAGTTAATTAATGCAGAAATGATTTCATCATGAGATTCAGCTGATACGAGGCTTCACGATATGACTATACACAACAGTGACCAAATGACACTGGATCTCTCTGGCAGGACTTGTTGGAAACGAGAGTATGCCAGAGAGATTGCAATAATGGAGCAATACACACGCAAGCGTAAGTTTACCTGGAATATGACCACACGGAATTTGTTTTTCTTCATTATTTCCTCTTGCCTCGTCTCAACCTTTTTCACATGAATTTGTTGCTTCTCCACCCGGGCCCGCACGTCTCTAATGTGAGCGCTGATTTTTCTGGTTTTTTCGAACAATTTGTTGACAACGTAGCTTGTATTGCTGTGGGACTGTGAGAACTTCAACAGGTCAATCTGGACAGATTTGATGGCATTTCCCATTTCCCTGTGTCTCTCTTCGATTCTCTTCTGGCTGGCCTGCACACTGTCCACAATGGCGGCCACCCTGTCCAGGACAGTCACAATGGTGAGGGCAGCGTCTTGGTCTTCATCTTCTGAAGCAGCTGACAGGCGATTCTGGTGCGCTTTATCGGCACTTGAGGCAGATGCATTGTGTGCCATTGTATTTCTTTCTCAGCGAAAGATGGTCCTACCACAGTTAATTCGGGTGCTTAGGACAAAAAGTTAGCTGGGTAACAGGCAACAACAGCGTTGTTTAAAGGGCTGGAGGAACCTCACCCCTGGAGACTGGTCAAGTATTTCTAACTATAAATACCCATAAGTGACTGTTCTGCAACATGAACCCTTGCAAAGCACTGGGTACTGTTCCAAACATGCTTGCTGACTGACTAAGGGACTCAAATAAGATTGTGGTAGTAGAGAAAAGCTTTATTAAAAAATGTTCACTAAAGCTTACCTTGTTACTAATATTAAACCAAATAACCTTGGGTCAGACTCCTAATGTTGGGTGAAACTTTTGCCTTTAGATAATGTCTATTATTTGTCTATTAATTTCACATATGAAGTGCACGGAGAGATCAACACCAAAGAAGGTAGTAAAGAAACACACAAAACCAGAGGGCATATAGTGAAAACATTATATTATAGCATGCTTTTGCAAACCAAATATTAAAATTAATATTTAATTTTGAACATATTCTTAATTCTACATGCATACTTCGGAATATCTAAACTACATGTTAAATAGCTGAATACATTCTACTCACACTTCTGATCTTTAAACACCAACGGTCTATTAATATAGCTATTACTACAGAACAAATTTGGATAGAGGTTTCAGATAGTTTTTAAAGCTCACTTTAAGAGTACCAATCATTAACTATTTTTGCATTTATTCACAAACACTGATACAATTTGTTATTTATGTTAAAACAAACATTTTCTTTAAAAATGAATGTGTATTAAAGGAGTTTAACATAGAGTAGGCTTTCTTCCTATCTGTTCCTTAGACAGACTATTTTCACAATATCTAAATCTACTTTTCTGTGATTTGTTCCATCAATGCTGCCAGAAATTTTTTCAAATTATCAGAATTATTTTTTCAGTGAAATAATAAAATTTTAGTACATACATCTTATAAATATTTTATATCTAACACACACAGCTTTACAGTTCATGCGATAGGCAGTGTCTAAAAAATTGGTTACTAAATCTCAAAAACATTTAAATGTCTATTTAAACACAGTGTCTTCTAGATTTTTTTTGTAAGAAAAGTAATCTGTAAACATCTTTACCTTTAGTTCATGCTTTGCCATTTGCTGTGTTCATTGTGAAAGAAGAGAGTATGACTTTATAACCATTTGTGAAGTGGTCCATCTTTGCAAAAATATTACATTCCATGGGTAAAGAACAAGTCTTATAATTACCATGTGGTACAAATTTGTGGAAACAAATTTCTGTATTTAAAAACATAAAACAAAGACTACTAAACAGTCCAAAACTGTTGTAGCTGAATATTCGAAATACGAGCCAACAGTACTACACTAAAAATGTCCAAAAATAAGGCCTCTGAAATAAATATTTCCATTCTTTAAAAAAAGACATAATAAATGTACATCACATGGTCTGTGTACATATAAAAGTCATCAGTTTAAACCATTCTTGATGATGTATCTGAAGTAAAATGACCTAGGTTTTGCTTCTGTCTTCGGCCTCTATTGTTTTTAGGGCATTTTCTGTTGAATTTAAACAAAAGAAAAAGAATGTCATTTTGTTGGGGATATTTTCAGTGGTTCAAAGTAAATACACATTTCACATGTAAAGCCACATTGCATGTGATCACGCACAAGGGGGGAGGGATGATATATGCTGCACGATAAGGAAAGAGACCAACCCATCAGATGCTATCTTCCCTGTAAAGCTCTGAGTGGTAAGCTGGGCAGATATGCAACGAGGTGTGGACATGAGTTAAACCCATTCCTGGGGTCTATACTCTTGCCACATACAGTCCTAGGAAGAATCCTTGACCTACCTCTAACCTAACCCCATTATGTTTACTGTGAAAAATACAACATATAAGCCCCTCATAGCCCAAAAGATCCTGGGCTACATAATTTCCCAGAGCCTAATGGAACCTTAAAATGATAAAATTGGATTAGATGAAGGGAGAAATCGGGAAGTGGCATTTCTTAAGCTCAGGTATGAAGCCAGAGAAAAGACTAATAAATGTTTAGGCAACTACTTAAAAGAAGTTCTTGCATACCTTGCTTGGACGAATCACGAGACCACATACCAGAGGACTGCCATTCTGGGGATTGGCCTTGATTCTGCTTGCATGTTACTGCCTGTCTTTGTGAGCACAGTGCAAACCTCACCACTGTTCTTGTGCCTGGCTACTACAACACAAACTTAGAAGCTCTTACGATGCACAAGAATGGATTGTGGGGGCTAAAGCGATAGCACAGTGGGTAGGGTATTTGCCTTGCACGTGGCCAACATGAGTTCGATTCCCAGCATCCCATATGGTCCCCCAAGCATCGCCAGGAGTAATTCCTGACTGCAGAGCCAGGAGTAACCCCTGTGCATCACCGGGTGTGACCCCCCCCAAAAAAAAAGAGAATGGATTCTGACCATTCTGATAATTACTAGCTATGCGACTTCTGCTTGAGGTAAAATATTAAATTAAGAATTGAACTGACATCAAACATTTCAGCCAGTAAAGAACGCACAATCTACTGGCAAGTCTTATGACAAAAAGTATTCCTGCTGTGGAGGTCTGTGTTTTTCTTTAAAGAGCACTGCTTTGTGCTGACTTAAAAAGCCTTGATAACACTTCTCTCATAGAAACTTCACAGATTTTTATCTCACCAATCCTCATGCAAACACTTTGAAGTAAACAGAGCTGGGATCATTTCCATTCCACAAGCAAGGAAACTGTGGGAGAGGCCAAACAACCCTCTTTAACTATCACTAACTCGCCATGACCTTGGGAAAGTTCCAACTTCACAGGGCCATGTTTTTTTCTTCATTTAAGGACGTTTGGTTAGAAAGATGCTGCCCCACTAGCCTCTAATTCTACGTATCTAGACAAAAACGAGACTCATTCCACCTATAAAAGGAGAAAATGGCACTCATACAGCCTTGATAAGCAGGTCAGCAGGAGCAGCCTTTTACAGAAATTCCTACCATGTGCAGACTCCATGGGATAAATGAACAGCTGTCCCACAGTGGGCTGCGTGGGAGAAGCACTCCTGAAGAATTCTATGATGATAAATGCAAGGACATAATTATAAAATTCTAAATCCAACACAGCAAGATAAGCTGGGAGGGGAGAAAATGCCACAAGTGGGGGGGAAAAAAGTCTCAAGGAGACAGCTGCACTAACTCAATGAGAAGACATGGGCAGTGAAGACTTTAAAACAGTTTAGAAAATTGAATGTGATGTGGCTGGAGAGAGTTTAGGCAGCAAGGCATCTGCCTTGCATGCTGCTATCCCCAGATGATCCCCGAGCAGAGAGAGCTGCGTAGAACAGTCCCTCTGAGCACAGCGTTAGGAAACATCCCTTGAGCATTTTCAGGTCTGGTCTAATCCCCTCCCCAACTCTCTTGAAAAATAATATTTTAATGAGTGTCTAAGAAAAATAATATGTCTAAGTGTGAAGGCAACAAATGGATTTGGGGTAAAAAGTAAGATACGAATTTGAAAATTACCTGTCAGGTCATTTTAATTTAGTAACTGAGGATTAGGGTATGCCCAGAACCCAAGAATTGAGCTGGATAAAAGCTCAGAAAGGGCACATCTATTTCTGACCTTCAGAAAAGCCCTTCCCATCTCAGGATTTATTTCTCTGCATCTTTACAGAGACAGTGCTAGACCCAAAGCTGCATCCCGCGGACTCTGGCACTCTTTGAGCACAAAGATCACTGTGACCAGAAAAATCTTCCCTTGCATTACTTTATTTCCCCCCTTCCCTTTTCCTGCTATACTCTAATAATGCCAAATGGTCTCTCCCTCACATATACCAGTGACTTTCACATTAAATATGTTTTTAAATGTCTTTACACCAAGCGTCTCTGTACCTCTAAAACCTGAATTTCCACAAAATCAAGTTGGAAACTGGATCTCTTGGGCTGACTGTACTTGGCAAATGTATTTCCTAGGATGACATAATGACCCTTTTTTTGACAGTTCTGGGGAAAGAGAAAAGTATGACTTTGGAATCAGGCATTTCTGAATCCAAATTTAGGTACTCTACATATTAGCTGGCTGACCACGGGTAAATAACTTACCTCTGGGCCTATTGTAAGTAGCCACAGCAGCCCTGCTGCTGCAAGCTTTCATCTACCTTCTCTTTCTGCTGTCATTCATTCCTATTTCACTATGTCCCCTGCATTCATCTACTACCCAATTTTGTACTCACTAGTCTTGCCTAAGGATACATCATATGTTGCATGAAATAAAGTCCACTCATTCTAGCGCCAGATTATGAAAAGTATCTGTTACTCAGAGAAAACTCTTTTATCATTTTTAGATTTATCATTTCAGCTCCAGATGGCAGAGACTACTAAAAGTTTGGTCTCCATCCAAATCTTAGATAGAAGAGCTGTAAATCCATTATGGCCTGCCAATATCTGTACTTGATATGATCTAATCCTCTGCCCAGAAACATGCAGAAAGTGCAGAGATGGTGTTTCTGGGATTTCTGGAATAGGAGGTAAAAAAGACCAGCAAGAACATAGACTGGGAAGCCAAACAGTAATGAACTGGATTGGCATTGACTTTTCTCGGTCCAGTTCAGTTCTGACTTAGTTTCCACTCTTAAAAATGAAGCTTGAAAAAGCAACCACTTATACCATTCATTCTCTAAATATGTCCTTTAATTTGTAACAAATGGGCTCAGCTATGTCAAGATTTTTTTTCTGGGTCCAGGGACAAACCTGAGCCTTCACACATTTCCAGCAGCCTTCTACCATTGAGCTATGTTCCCTTGAGAATGTTGAAGCTTATGACTTACTAGTATAATATTAGAAAAATATTAGGATATCAAAAAGCTGTTATCTTTAACCTGGTGGATTTCTTCTTTTCTTGTCATACTTACTATAATAAAGAATCTTCTTAGGTCTTAAGAATCTTCTGGTTGGGCAGGGCTTAAGATATATCTACATGGCACATGGCTCTTCTGTACATGTGCAAACATCTAAAATGTTATTTTTGTTATCATCCCTGAATACAACAAGCTCACAAATGGAGCACAGTTCTAAGATCTCTAAATTCATGTATGGACTGGATTCTCATGCTCCCTCTACCAGCTTCCCTTGATAGATCTGTGACCCCAGGAATGAGCTTTTGCCCATATTTTAAAGACACATGCAAGAGATATCCACATGAAAACCTGGAGTTCTCAGATCACTTACACACACACATACACACACACACACACACACACACACACACTGTGACACTTACAGCTCCTATCATTTTTAGTCTGGCGTCAGGTTTTTCTTTCATCCAACAGATAATCCACCCCT